CCCCCCACCCCCACCTTGCCCCTTAGGCTCCTCGCCAACTATGTGAGCCGTAATAGGCCAGACGGCTACACCCTAGCCAGCGAGAGAGACAAGACGACACATGATTACCGTTACTTCAGCGGCTGGCTCTCGGACCACTTAGGAAGCGACTGCAGCTTTGACATGCCCTGCCCGCTCGACAATTGCCCGTTTCCTCAACCCCACACAGTTACTGGGCCCTTCTACATCTACACGGTAGCCCATGGCATTTTTGACACCTCCGAGGCGTGCAAAACCATAATTGAGTTTTTCTACGACGACGCGACGCGACCTGACACAATTCTCCGGGCGGAGGGCTACAAACTGATGTGGAAAAACAAACACCACGACATTTGTAAAGTCGCTTGTGTCTCACACGACCCGAAGTTAGCACCCTGCCTTACTGTCATTGATCGAGATATCTCAAAAGTCAGTAAACGTCTCAAGCTGAAGACGTTTCCTGGAACCCTGGTCGCGATCATATCCCATCCGCACGGGTACGAAAAGCATATCAGTTTCTGCCAGGATCTGGTGGGACAGCTGGTGCGGGAACATGCTGATGATCGAGGGTTTTATCACTTCCGGTACAAAGCAGCCACTTGCGATTCATGCTCGGGTGCCCCAGTGTACATCCTCCACCCGAGCTGTCCCAGGCTCGCCGTGGCCCCTCACAGTCGCTGGTTAAAGCAGGAGGAGCTCAATAAAAGTGGTATGGTCATCGGTACCTTCCATCCGTGACCAACCTCAGCTCGCCTTGTCGATGGTGTTGTGCTCTTGACTTTTTCTTGATATTTTTAAAATCAGGCATTAGGGTAAAGAAACAATCATTCTAACTTTACACAAAACCACATTGTTTTTATTCTAATTTTTGTTTACATCCTTAGTACTTGCTCTTATTGAGGGCCCATAGATCGACATAAGCAATGGTTTTAATACATATGAAGAGTTGACGTATGTCTGTCAGCTACACCTTTAGAGAATGTTAGTGATAGTTGTCCGTCAATGTCTGACGGTGACCAATGCTTTGGTAAAGAAGAACAATATTTCCTTAGTGAAATAGGAGAATTAAGGAGATTTGTTGCCTCTGCTATGGCCAACGAGGCTATTTTTTTAGAAAAGAATTTGCCACATTTTGAATATTTAACAGTTCCATGTCTACCTGTGAATGTGTGCGGCTTGCGGGCTTCTCTCTTGGCTTCTGCATTTCTAATTCATAAAGCCTTATACACGGTTAGAATATAACACCATCAATATATCGATAATCTGGTTAGTGCGATGGGGTTGGGGCAGAAGCTGGTCAGGCTTCTTATTTCAGTGTTCTTCATCTCTACCTCGGTTTTCTTAGGCCGACACGCATTTGATATCGAATAGGCTTTGAAAATAAACCATGTTGCTGTGTTCAACTTATAAGAAAGCATATTTTAGACTGAAAATAAAAACCAAAATGCTGTTGGTTACGGTAGTTGTTGGGATTTTGTCAGGGAGTAGTTTCGTTTCTCTCTATGTGACATTCTTCTCGGATGATCAAGGGGTTTGTAATGCGGGTAAAACGTTGAAGAATTCGGAAAAGTATTTTGTGAGTAGTTTTAGTCTTGTAAAAGTACGTTCTAGTCCTCAAACATTGCATTATGTAAATCAAAAAACAATTATTCAGGGTTTCCCCCCATTGTTGGTTGAAGATATTCTACAGACCCACCACACCAGTAGGGTACCTTTTTGTGGTGAATGGGGAAAAGGTACTAATAATATAGCCTAGGGTGCTACCCTTTACATTAGAAAGATCATGTATGAAGTTATATATGTAATTTTCTTTTTGTAGCCCTCATTTAAAACAAAAACGTTTATATCATAGCTCCACCTTCGAACGCCCTTGTATGGTACCCACTTTGCTTAACCCTTCCTCTTGTATTGTTGTTAGATGTCAAAGGGAGGTGCAATTTTCGTTCAAGGGCTGGGTAGGTGGCTTTTGTTGTTGATCTGTTGTTAGCGATTATTCTTAATAAAACAAAATGAATTTCTAGTTTGTGAAATGGGGTTTGTAGCCAATTCTTGCATATTATTGTGTAAAGTCAATATTAAATGGGAACACTATTTGATTTGAAGCCGAGAATTGATATTATACAGGGGAAATTCTTGGTAAGAAACTATGACTATTGTTAGTGAAGCTACCTATATTCTTTCCGAAAGAACATTCGAAGTAACATTTTCTGTCATAATGATATGCCCATGAAATAACACCTTTTCTAAAGAGGAAAAAGTGTGTGTGATACAGGGTAAGCTGAAGTGCTTTCTATAAGTCAAAGGGGTTCTAGTCTTCAAATAATACGAGAATAGTGCAATGGTTTTCAAATGTCTAGTCAATATACCTCCCCCCTCCTCCTCCTCCTCCTCCTCCTCCTCCTCCTCCT